CTCAACTTCTTCGTCGATATCGTCTTCTAGCTCTTTCCGCGACGAGCGGTTCCTAGTCGCTGATCGTGTTACCGGGCCACGACGAGAAGATGATTCTTGATCTCGGTCATCTGGGGTTGGACTGGGCGAGATGACCCGCGGACTGGCTGGTACCGTGGACCTGGGCATGGCGAACGAGAAGGGCGGCAGGGACGGACAGTGGATAGCGCCGATAAAAATGCGCTGCAGCGACTCGAAGGCTGACGGCCAAGAGCCGAAATACTGGTAGCACTGCTGCTGCGTTTCCAGCAGGTAGTTATCACGGCGCGAAACACGCGCCGATGATGTGTTGGTGGTTCCGAAGAGCGAGAAGAGGCTCCAACTATGATGCGACGTCGGTGAAGGGTGTGATGCAGGGTCTTGAGGTTCTATCGGCGCCAGGTTGATACTTGGTGGTGATGCAGCGGAGGCGATTTCCCCCACTGCATGTCTCTCGGAGAGTATCTTGACAGAGAGGACTTGAAACAGAGGCCACCAGCATACGTGCTCTGTCGCCAGCTATGTCTTTGAGGACAGGGCTTTGGAAATTAGGGTAGCGACGGGGGTTAGGGACAAATTTGGGATACGTGGGCAAGTGACCTGTTTTCGGGTGGTGGATGATGTCCGGGATGACGGGATCCGCCTCGTTGGGCAAGCCAGATTTTCACCATGGATTAGTAGTCCACCCAGCCTAATGTGCGACCCTTAGGTAGCGCCTCAGTGTCTTAGAGTCCGGTTTTTTGGGGCGTCGGAGCATGTGACAGCCCGAATCGCGGCATTGAGCAGGATTTCGCTCAATTTTCACGAGAATAAACCCGGAAGCATGTGAAAACCCGTTGGGACAGTTAAATTATCGTTGACCTTGCCCGAGGTTTCCGTGAGCTTCAACGGCTGATCTGTCCTGATTTTAAGTTACAGCACATCTCAGACATGTTTCTTGCTCGTGTGCCTTGGCCACCCACGACGTAATACTACCCTAGAGGGCTTAGACTAGAACTGACTCGTGTGCTCTCGTCCCCACTCAACCTACTTTCTTATCGATAATGACATGACCCTGATAAGATAACGGAGCTGGTTGAAGCAAAAAAAAAAGTTGGGTGGATGCGACATGCGACTTGACAGCCCCTCGATAGAAGTACTCGAACGGTGATATCTCTGCTTCTGCACCTTTATTGCAATGGCTCCCAGTAAAAGTGCCCCTGGTGGGCGTAATCCAAGGGCCTGGGATGCGCTCACTCCTCCCCTGGCGGAATGGATTCTCGATGCTGTGTCGACAATGGGTTTCAAGCAGATGACACCCGTCCAAGCGGCAACCATTCCTCACTTCATGGGCAACAAAGATGTCGTTGTAGAGGTTTGACTAACATGCGCCATCATTCAGACTTCACGTAACTAATTGTAATGCAGGCTGTCACTGGAAGCGGGAAAACCTTGTCGTTTCTTGTTCCTGCTGTACAAAGAATCCTGCGCCTGGAGGAACCAACGACACGGCACCATGTCGCCGCCATCATTGTGTCCCCAACCCGAGAGCTCGCCGCCCAAATCCACTCTGTCCTCTTATCGTTGCTCGAATTCCACCCCCCTTCTGCCGAGTTGCTGCCATATCTCAAGGAGGAGGAAGACAAACGACCTACGACGTCGGTCCCTGCCATTGTGCCCCAGCTCCTCGTCGGCGGCACCACAACCGTGGCACAGGATCTCAGCTTCTTTCTGCGACACAGCCCTAACATTCTCATCTCCTCCCCGGGAAGATTGGTAGAATTGCTCTCATCGCCCTACGTCCATTGCCCACAGTCCAGCTTCCAGATGCTTGTTCTGGACGAGGCGGATCGACTGCTCGATCTAGGTTTCAAGCAGGACCTACAAAAGATCATCTCCCATCTGCCCAAACAGCGACGCACCGGTCTATTTAGCGCGAGTGTGAGCGAAGCTGTTGGTGAGATTATCCGAGTTGGCTTGCGCAACCCAGTCAAGATCGAGGTCAGGGTCAAGATGAAGGACGGCGGAGTTCTGGAGGATAGAAAGACGCCAGCCAGTCTACAAATGGCCTATCTGGTGAAGCCAGCGAGCCAGAAGCTCCCCGCCCTCGCCCAGATTCTGGAGGGTCTGCCCATCCGTCCCCAGAGAACAATCGTGTTCCTGTCGACCTGCGCCGCCGTCGATTATTTCCAGCACGTCCTTCCCGAGCTCCTTCCCGAAGGCTTCGCTCTGATCCCTCTCCACGGGAAGCACCAGCCCAAAGTACGAGAGAAGAACTTCAACCGCTTCCTCACCGCAGTATCTCCTACAGTGCTCCTCACCACCGATCTGGCCGCCCGTGGCTTGGATATCCCCCAGGTCGATCTGGTCGTCCAGATCGACGCGCCGTCAGACCCAAAAGTCTTCATCCACCGGAGCGGCAGAGCAGGACGCGCAGGTCGCAAGGGCCTGGCCGTCGTCATGCTCCACCCCGGCCCCGAGGAGGACTACGTTCGATTCCTCGAGATCCGCAAGACCCCAATCGCGCTACTGGAAAAACCCGAGGTCTCAACTACGCAGGAGGACGCAGATCAGGCCACGGAGAAGATCCGGAGCCTGCTGCGCGCCGACCGCGCGCTCCACGACAAGGCGCAGCGTGCCTTCGTCAGCTGGGTGCGCAGCTACGGCGGCCACCAGGCCACGTCCATCTTCCGGACGAGCGCGCTCGACTGGGCGGACCTGGGCCAGGGGTGGGGTCTCCTCCGGATGCCCAAGATGCCGGAGCTCAAGGCGTGGCAGGGGGACAAGTCCCTCGGGGTCGAGGTGGACTGGGACAACTTCGCATACCTGGAGAAGTCGCGGGAGAAGGCCCGGCAGGAGGCCCTCGAGGCGGAGCGCTCGGGCGCGGCCAAGCTCGCGCGGGACGAGGAGGCCAGCAAGCGGAAGCGCAAGATGAAGGCCAACGAGGCGTGGAGCAACAAGCACGACCAGGAGGACGTGCGGGTGGAGCGGCGGGAGAAGCGGCGCAAGAGGCGCGAGGCCGAGAAGACGGCGGCGATGACGGACGACGAGAAGGTGAAGCAGGCCGAGTTGGATGAGATGATCCGCCAGGTCAGGATGCAGAACGCTGCCAAACCCGCCGCTAAAGACGATGAGTTTGAGGGCTTCGACGATTAACTAGCTACCATATGCATGGACCAATAATACTACAACTACGTACAGAAATAACAAAGACTGATTCATAAACACCGATATCATTGCACCAAGTGATTCCAAACAATCGCGGAGAGAATGAATGGCGTGACGAACAGCTCGAGGAGCGGAATATCCCGAATCCTGCGTCGACGAGAATCGGGGAATACTGGCAAGCAGTCGAGCGCGTTCAAAAAGTCCGGGTGGATCAGCCTTCTCGTTGGTTAGAATGCTGCGAAACAGGGGTTTCAGTCGGCCATCGGCAAATAAATCGGTGGGACGCAGCGGCCGGGTCGGTTCCGGACAATCTCAACTTGACCGAGATCACCGCCCCGTCAGCCTTTGCGGCCATGGAAGCAGAGATGGGAAGGATATATAATGCGGTGATGTCAGCTTGGAGGGGGGGAAGTTGATTCATGCCATGTATTTTTAATCTGACAATTCCAAGCAAGGTTCTCTCACGCTTCCCCTCGCATATATATAGCACAACACCGGTACTCGCTTCTAGGCCAACAATCATCCTCTGGCATCATTAGCAAAGGAGTCTATTCATTATAAGGCATCTACTTCAATTTAGAAGGAAGATTTCACTCGTTGAAGGGACAAAAAAACGCCGCACCACCCATCACAGATTACCACAATGGCTTCGTCCCTATTACCTCGCCTGCGGCCGGCCACGGTCCTCACAACCGTCCTGGCGGGCGGCATCGCCACCGGCATCTACTCCAAATTCATCATGAGACAGGTACACGCAGACTCGGGCCCAAAGCCGAAGAAGGTCCTCGGCGGCGGCCCGGCCTTCCTCTCCCTCCCCCTCGAGAGCTCCGAGATGGTGAGCGGCGACACGAAGCGCCTCCGCTTCAAGCTACCCAAGGAGGAGGACGTGAGCGGCCTCCCCCTGACCTGTAAGTTCCCCAGCCGAATACCAAAAACCAAGGACCATCCCAAGCAATGAAAGCCGTTCTAATCGAGAAACTGTGGTAAAACAGCCGCCGTCCTGACTGTATCGTGGCCCAAGGGCAGCTGGCGCCCCGTCCCGCGCCCCTACACGCCCGTCACCCCCTCCGACGCCCCCGGCCACCTCGACCTCGTCGTCAAGCAGTACCCCAACGGCCGGGCCAGCACGCACCTGCACTCCCTCACCCCGGGCGACAAGCTCCTCTTCGCCCTCCCCATCGCCGGCCCCAAGTGGACGCCCAGCCCCGACCCGGACACCCACGTCACCCTCATCGCCGGCGGCGCGGGCATCACGCCCGTCTTCCAGCTCGCGCAGGGCATCCTCCGCAACCCGGACGACAAGACGTCCATCACGCTCGTGTACGGCGCCAACACCGACCGGGACGTGCTCCTCAAGCGGGAGCTCGACGCCTTCGAGAGGGAGTTCCCAGGCCGCTTCAGGGCCGTCTACACCGTCAGCCGGCCGGGGGAGGGCAGCCCCTACAGGAAGGGCCGCGTGACCAAGGAGCTGCTGCAGGAGGTGGCGCCCCCTCCCGCGTCGTCGCACGTCTACCTGTGCGGACCGCCCGCCATGGAGGCGGCCCTCGCCGGGCAGTTCAAGTGGGGGTCGCCGCTGGGGATCCTGGCTGAGCTCGGGTACCGAAAGGATCAGATTCACCGGTTTTGAGGAGTTGGGCGTCGATGTAGACAAGGGTTGCGAGGTTGAAGGCCGGCAGTCATTCTTTTCTTTTTTTCAAAATCTCATTTGTATCGAAAACGACGAAATGTATATGCCCCAGCTCCGCTTGTAATAGACCTATGTACTTTGAACAATGAAGAAATTTCCCTGTAATGATTATTTTCGTAGTCGTGTGTGTGTGTGCGTGTGCTTGGTCATGAATGCCGGATCAGTCATGTTCCTCTTCAAGCACCTGGAGTGGCCACTTCATAGGCTCCTGCCAGTAGCTGCCGAGTCGCTTGTTGATATCCCGGATCAGGAAGACACCCGTGTCGCCGAACATCCAGTATTTCCTCGCCCGGTGCACCAGGACCCCGTAGTAAGCCAGAATGATGAGAGCCTCCGCCCTGTGCCTCCTCAGGACGTCGCCGAACTCGACGGACACCACCACGCTGAAGCCGGTGACGGCGTGGGGCAGGTCGGGACGGGGCAGTCTCCCGCTGAGATCGAACGCCCACTGCAGAGTCTGCACCGCCCTCTGGCAGGCGTCGATGCTCTGGGAATCCAGATCCGAGGCATCGAGGAGCGCTCGCAAGGGCTCACACTCCTTCCCGTGGCACGGCTCTTGGGGATATTGGAGGGTTGTGAGGCTCAGTATTGGCAGCAGCTCCGACTGAAGAAGCATCTCCCACGTTGGGAGGACCACCGTACGGATCCCCTTGTGGAGATTGATGCAATCAATGAAGCGGTCTATGAACTCCTGAAAGTCGGAGCGGTTGTACGCCAAGGTCTCGGCCAATACGTGCAGACCAAGCAATGCGGCGAAGAGAAACCGCGGTGCGGCATACAGCATGTCGTCGGAAGAGGGACTCTTAGTGTCCTTGGTGAAGTCGGCCAGGGCTCTCGTTTGGAGCTCCGTCGCCTGGTGCCGGTACTTGGCTGCCGACTCCGGCTGCTGGTGAGCCTTGTGTATGGCCGCAAACGCGAGAAGCTGGTCAATCAGATAGGGGCACTCCACGGTATGGCGTATGGAGATGTCGACGACGCGTGTTGTCTGGCCGTCACCCAGCACCTCGTTCTCCATGGACGTCTCGACGTGATGGAGGAGCATCAGATGCTGGGGGGTAAAGGTAGACATGGGGATGGAGGGAGAGGTGGGCGTATTGGCAAAGGACTCGTTGAAGGACGGCAGAGACTGGGGCGGCCACTGCGCCGGTGGACGCATCTGCTGAGGTTGAGGAGGTTGAGGCCGCTTCTCTGGGACGGGCACTGGCGACGGCCCTGCTGCTCTGGCTGGAGCGGGATAGGAGCATGCTCGCTCGGCCATGGAGCAGTTTCTACAGGCTGGGCGCGCTTCATCGCAGCGCATATGCCTCCGTTTGCACTCAGCGCATCCATTACGCGACTTTCGGTGCGATCGCCGCTGCTTCGTGGTGCTACTACCGCCCGACTTTGGTGTTGACCTGTCTCCCCCTCCGTCAGGCGTCCCCCCTCCAGAGTCGCGCTCTGCCATCTCGGAACGATCCCTCTATCCGGTTTCTACTGGAGATGTTGCAATAGAACTGGTCTGTTTTCTCTGAGTGTTAACTGTCTGGCCGAGGCCCGTTCCCCTGTCACATTGTCTTCGTTACCAGGGTGCAGTGTTTTCCTGGTCCAGTGGAGCATCAAGCTAGCAGAGGAACAGAGCCGTGGATGGGAGTACCGCAAGCCCAGGCGAGAGGAGCCCGGCGATGAGAATAGGTGCTCAGGCAGACAGTTTTGGATGAAGATGGTTTAAGCACGCGGGTGCGGGTGCTGAAGCCAAGAGGCGATGCGAGGCAGATGCTTTATGACCAAGCGAGGTCAATGCCCGCTCACCTTTTCTCGATCTGACTGCCTTACTACTTATTACTACCTACCTACTTACCGCATCAGCGCTAGAACCCCAACCACAACTGGCAGTAGCAATAAGACAATAATACAACAACCCTGTCCAAGGCTGACCTTTCTGGTGCTGGGCTCTCTCATTTCTCTTCTCTCGCTGTGTTCCCCCTAATCCCAAACAAGCAGATTGATTGGACCGCTGCAGTCATGCCCACGGTCAATTTAAGCTGTGCATGGGGACAATCGCTTGGCTCGCACTCGAGATTCGCTCTCCACCCGCCGTTACACAACGCAACGCACCAGCACCATCCCTGCCATCACACTCCATCACAGCAGCATCCTCATCTGACAGGAGGGAGCAGATTTGACATTGGAATGAAACCTGCTAAATTTGAATACTTCTATCTACAGTGTCTGTGCCAACCACCACCTCTCTCTGGTTTCTATCTCATCCAGCTCTGGGTGTATCGAAAGTAACCGCGAACCTCATGTCTCGTCACCCCTTTTTCTTCTTCTTTTGCATTGATAAATCTCAGCCCTAGTTGCTGCTCCTTCCTTTCTGCTTTAATTTAATCCTTTTCTGGTTGTCTAAGGCACTGCGCGACGTCTTGCCCAGCTCTAGGCTAAGCTTGTCCGTATTCCCGTGTTCGTTACCGTTCCAAGGCAACCATGTAAATTTGAAGACAGGTAGACGTAATGCTGCTCCTCGTCTTTGGCCCGGCCCTGGCTCTGGCCCTTCTGTTCATAGCCCGCTGCGTGGAGATCTCTTGAGGCCATGCAAGAAAATCTTCCTTTTAGCTGGGTATCACTACATTACAAGGAAATCGAGACCCTCGCATCTTCTTCTCAAACGCCGGCGTCGGACCTGAGCCTATAGTCCATAAAACTCCCACCCATCACCGCTGATCTCTTCAGCTTCGCTATTTGTGTTCGGTCCATGTTCCCACCCCTGGTTGGGTGCGAACTCGTTTCGCAGTTCCTCCTTCAGTCATAGCTCTTCGTCATCCAGCTCTGACGGCTTCAGCAGTCCTCCGACCTTTTGTCGTCGCTCCATATCAGCCGCCTTCGTGTCCCGTTCGGCTTGTTCCTTCTCAACCGCGAAGAGCTCTGCGTTGTCGTCTGCAAACTCCTTGAGGGAGATGAGGAAGTCTCGCAGGTTCAGGCGGAACTTGTCATACTGAGTGTTGTGCGTAAACAGTCCCTCCACGAAGTTAGCGATTTGGGCCCTAGTTTCTCGTTAGCTAAACTTGCGCGTTTCAAATGTTACGTTTTTTCGCAAGACCTACTGTTGGAGGTTGGGGAATGCATTTCGTAATAGATTCACGACAAAACTGCTCAAGAATTCACGGTTGCTTGTTCCACCGGGGGCTTGCTCTGCGTTGTAAATAGGCCCCTGGATCTTGGGGGCTGTGCCATCAGCAGGATGGACAAAGTAGAACAGCTTCATCAAGACCATCGACTGCGTCTTAAAACCGGCCTTGTGGTCTGGATCGGTGACGACGAAGAACACGTCTTGGAGAATGTTGACAAAGAATCGCTGGAAAAAGGCGTTTGCTGTTGCAACATCCGTCTTCTCTGCGATGTTGTTGATGAGCTCCAGGCACATATTCAGTCCAGCGGCTTCGACATCACGGTTGTCGTGCTTGAAAGCCCAGGAGCAAGAGTCGATAACAAACTTGAACTGATTGTTATCAAGTTTCAAAAGAGCTAATGATACGACCGGTCAGTATTAGGTGCGTTATTGGAATCAAGAAGATAACTCGTATAGTGACTTACCAGGGAAGCAGTAAAGATTAATGGCTCGAAGGAGGTTGAAAAACTCAACACGGTGCTCGGGGAATTCCGAGAAGTCTTTGTTGATCATCTCCAGTGTGCATTCGAACACATTTTGCATGATGATAGGGACCTGCTCCTCCATCAAGGGCTGTATAGTATGTTAGCATGTTTTCTGAAAAAATAACTGGATTGGGGAATCTTACACCCAGCTTTGTGATGATAGTGGACATGGCCTTAAGAACTTCAGCATCACGAGCTCCCGGCACATTGCGGTTGTAATCAACCAAGACCGATTCCAGTAAGGGAGGAACCATCTGGTTAGCAACGGCTTGCAAATCTTCAGCTTTGTCCACGTATGTTTCAATAAGCTTAAGGATTTCCTTCTTGATGGTTCGCAGTCCTCGGACCTTCGGCATCTTGGGGGCCAAGTCGCCATCCCGAGCCACAGCTTCCGAGATGAGGCCGCTAGTGGCACGATACATCTGAAGCATATCGTGGTAAATGCGCCCGATTTGAGGGTAGAAGTAAGGACCGATCGATGAGCAGGCGGACACATTAGTCTTCATGATGTTGCCAATGACCTTGATCGTCTCAGAGTCTTGAAGAATCGAAGGGTTCATAGTAGCCTGCTTGATAATCTCGTCCCATGCGGTATTGGGGATGTTCATTAAATCGGCCAGCAACCTCTCCTGCTGATGTTGATTGCCTTGGGCTGCAACCATGTAGCCGCATGCCTCGTAGAATGTGTGGACTTGTTGAGGCGTGAGGTCACATGTAATCTTACCCATGTTCCTCACAATCTCTTCAATAAAGGGCTCTTGCTCGCTAGGCTGAAGCGCCACGAAATGGCGACGGCACTGGCGAGCGATCTTGATGAATGTATCGCAAGCCATGTCTTGGACACCTGTTTGTCTTGGTTAGTCATCCGTCGTTGCTATTTTCGTGCCTTGTCTGTTTTGGGGGGGGGTGTCATTACCTTCGTGAGATTCATGCATGAATTCGAACAACTTATTGACAACAGTCTTAAGGAATTTCCAGTGTGCCTTCAAGAAGCGGGGGTATTGCCCCACGATGTACATAATGTTGCTTGCAACCACGGCTTTGTTGTCCTTGCCGCGCTTCATTTCAGTAAGACCCAGGAGATCCTTGATAACGGTCACCAAGAATCGCTTCTCAGTCTCTTCGTTCATGGAGAGGGAAATGGAACCAATGGCCCAGCAGAGAACGTTGCAGTTGTGCCACGACCACTCTGAGCCATCCACCTGTCGTGCTAGCTTCTCCGTCATGATGTTCTCCGTGTCAACAACATCAAGATGCGTGAGGTAGACAAGACACTCTCGGATAGTTTTGTACAGCTGAACAGTGTCGCTTTCCTTGACAAACTCTCGAACAATCTCACCCTCGTCGTTCTCCACAATCAGAACTTCCTCAGGGCGGACCATCTTCTCGATCATAACGACTCGTAGGTTCGTGAGGATCTCGTTGTACTTGTGTTTTCGGAGAGGGTAATTCATTAAGGTGTTGGGATTCGGGGCTCCGCTGCCAGACATGTTGCCGGTAACACCCATCAATGGGTTTACGTCGGTCAATGGAAGAGACTGCATCTCCTCATACAGCTCTTGAACCATCTTAAGCCAGTAATCGAGGGTGATCTTGAAAATTTCGCGGTCGTCGATTTGGGATATCCGGATCAAGTAGTAGTGACCATGCATGAGGAAATCTCTATTCGGCAGGTTTTCGATAAGCTGCACCCTGGTCAGTTTCCCATATCATCGACAAAATTCAAGTCCAGCTGGTGAATATAAAGAAGAAAAGGCCCAACTTACGTGAAGGTGCATTCCAAAAAAGTTGCAGAGAAAGAGTGCTAGGTTCTGGATGAATTCTTGATCTTTCGAGTTACTGCTAGGATAGGTCGACTTCAGGTCGAGAGAGACTGGAATGATCTCTGCAATCGTGGTAAGAACCTCGGTGAACATCTTGACAAGCTGCTCTTCATATGAGTTGGGTTGGCCAGGCCCGCCGGTCTGTAGACCTCCGATTTCTGTCAAGCACTGCAGGGTGATGTTCCTGAACTCGGGGACCGATAAGAAACGCGTACGCAAGGTATCGATCAGAGGTGTCTCGAAGATATAGCCGAGAGGAATCCAGTTGCAAAAGCGCAGTAAGGTCTCCAGAGTGGCGTTGATGAGACTGGGCTGGGTAGCAGTGTTGAGAACCTCCTGGCAGAGCTGGAAAATTTGCGAAAATTCAGCGCACATGGTCTGCTTGAGACTCCTCGTTTTGGCCGATGTCATCTGCTCAGCCGAGTAATCGAACACCTCCTCGGACAATAATCGCAAGATGATCATGTTGTTTTCGCAGATGGAGAGGTTGGAGTGGCAGGAGGAGATGATTTCGTTTATGAATGTAGGCCAGTTATGGGGCCATTCCTGCTTCAAGACGGAAATGAGGACAAGATTCAGCTTGTTCAGGAGAGTCTTGTTCGTCTTCAGAGACTCTTCGGTGCTCGAGGATTGAATGATGAACTGCACAATGAAGTTACGAATACCTGTGGGCCGCGGGGTTAGTAGTCGGTCTGGAAAGTGGGAGACAAGTTTCTGCAACGAACCTTGGCATTGGTCTCGAGGCAGAACCTTCCATCTCGTCAAGATGACATTGTCGAGGACCTGAAGACCCAAGTCTGTGACCATATTAGCTACCGTGCTGAGCACGAAGGGCGGGGGAACCTTGTTGAAGCATACACTTTGTTTGGGGATACTGTGCGCTTGAGAGGATCTTGTCCACCATTAACCAGGCGTCAGGGTCCTCTTTGAACTATACCAAAAAGTCAGCAAAACCATCCTCGAGACATCTACGCCGCCATTCGTGTTATTCCATCGTGATGCCCGGTTCTATCCTGTTCGCCGTCTCGGTTGTTGTCC